GAGCCAGTCACGTAAATAATACGGTCGGCAGCATAGGGCTATGATTCCACAGCTACGTCACTACATGTCATAAATAAATACTAGCAATGGATATGCTGCAGAATCGATCAGTCGTGGTAATTTTCTCGTCGGACCACACGATTAAAAACATTTTCATAAAATTGCCACGCCTGGGCCAATCTATGCGCGCCCGTCGAACATCGCCCTGATTCGAAGTTGCTCTGTGTTTAATAAATAGACATGAAGATTGGCCGAAAATACTGCAAACTACCAAAATTTACTGTTGTTTTTGTGATTCTATGGCTCGACATATTTTAATGTTTTAAAATGTACTTTATAAAAGTCTAAAATATCGAACGTGCATTTCAAAGTTGTAAAATGAGATTTTGTTTTGCTTCTGTTGAAACTGACGTTTAAGCAGGTTTGTACATTTTGCATTTTTGGCACGTTAGGTAGTTTTTTAACTTTAACATTTCAAAAATGCTCTTGGCATTTTTGAAACTGTACTTGAGAAATAAAAAAAATCATGTAATCGATTTCTCTTCAAAAATGCCAAACGTGCAATTAAAAATGAAAAATGTGAAATTTTCTTGTGTAGGCAATGGATGAAAAATTAGCACACTACCTTGAGCAGACGTGAGGCCCACAATCAATGTGAGTAGACACAGGCGATACATGGTGCGAACTGTCTTCTGAACGGATTTTGTAGCTGTCAGCAATGAAGTTAAACCACACTTATGCCGGTATTAAATCGTACGGTTATATATGGCTATATGGCTATTAACCCAGATAGATTGTCATCGAGATTGTCTTGAGTTCCCATCCATATGTGGTGTTCATATATTTACCATGACGGAGCTAATTTATATCTTGTTTTTTTCCCGATATGATACTTCATAGTTATTTGTTAGTAACTGTTTTTAATTTTCTATTTTCACTGATAAGTGAGATTCGTTTAATTAAATCGAATTAGGATGCATTAAATCTCAGTGATTAAGCTCAGAATTATGAAATGAAATACCTGTTAAATCTAATACCTTTAATACTTCTAATAGGCTGTAAACCGGGTTGTGGATTGTCGTGGCACAGTAATGACAACGCTGGGTGGCGCTATTCACATTTACGTCCGTCATGGTGTCGCTTTGAATTCCCCACAGAAGACAGTACAAAGTAATATGCATGTGGCAATTGTGGGTATTAATCAAAGTAGTTGAAGATAATGATTTTTCTGGTTTGTTTCTTGCCAAATTAAATGAATTTATATCAATCACAGGAACACTACCATAATCTAAAGCCAGTTGCCAATCATGATTTAAAAAAAAATGTAAAGCTTCATTATTCGGAAATTGTTACAATATATCATGTTTGATATATCCTTCCGGTCCAGAACGGATATGTAGGTATTTGGTGTTGTATAAATATATTAAGGAGATTCAAGTCGAATTGAAAATTACATGTAATTTTCGTCAAACATTCATTATTATGGGTTCATACCATCAGAGTTCAGCAAATAAAAATTAAATCGGGGTCATTAGACAATTTTTCGAGAATTCGACGAGAGTTCCAAATTTCATGGAATACGGTCAAAATGTTTAATCCTGGTTTCTATGGTTACATCATTTCTTCATATCTCAAAATGTTGCTTGGTGACATGTAACGTAAACTTAGACTAGTGCAATCTGATTAAAATCTGATGTAGTGTACGGGCTTTAATTATTTTGGCTATAAACTTATTTTAATTTTCTTTGTTATTATATTTGTTATTAATGCCCTTTTATTTTATTATTTTACTTTGATTTTGATTTTGTGATTTTTTTTTAATTCCGCCCTACCTACATCTGAGCCGATGCCTATGTAACGAGATTTCAACGAGACCCACTATCGACGATTTTAGTCAACGAATCACAGACCTCCTTCTATAGCGCACATGATGACGTCACCGAGCAGAGTCAGGTAGCAAACAGACTCAAATAAAATGGCGGATTATACCGACGTTAGCGACCGAGAATGACACGGCTTTTCGGTAAGTTTATCATTGTAAAATGCAACGAAAGTCATTT